TTTTCATGTTATAGGCCTCTATTTAGGCCTGCTGACTCCATGTTACTGACCCTCAACTTACTACATTCCCCCACTTTTTGTCCTTTTATGGGGAGGATGTTTACCCATCGTCCCGGAAAAGCATAATGCATGAACTGAAGGTGACCCAGTGGGCTAAACACTGTCATGTGGACACCTTTGTCGTACTGTTCACACACTCATGCCCCATCTGTCCCTTAGTCTGCACATTCCCTCGTACGACTGATGGACAGATTTTATTTTCCAATTCTTTTCAGTCCCTTATGGTGGGCCTGAACTTACTACATCAACAATGTTCCACCATTAAAAGACACTCTAGATATTGTCAAGTTGCAAAACTTTGACAAAGAGATCTTAAAATTATTGGATCAGGGACAGTATAAAAATTATACTATTAAAAGGCATGAGAAAGGACCCATAATGGCTCAGGAAGTTGTGAATGGCCAAGATACTTGTAAAGGAGAATGGCAGAATAATGTAATATGTAACAAATATGTAACAATTCAACAGCTATGTGTTGTAACTGTAACCAAGTGAATGCAATTGTAACACCTGATGTGAGTTCACAATGTACCACCCTGTACAGTGTTTATAGATGATACAGGATTGAACTACATGAATGTATATGCATCTACTCATTGCATTTTGTTATGAAAAACCAGAATATATATATAAAAGCATGTCCTATCTCAAGATGGAGTCCAAAACTCCATTTTGAGTTAGTAGAATTCTATAGACATCCATTACAGATTAAGGTCTAGTCACGTCCCACAAATACTTGTTTACTTATTCAGTTAAGTTTTGAAAATAACAACTAAGATTATGAATATGTATGAGCTAAAAGTGCCAGCCAATAATTTTAAACTATGCTGAAAAAGCATCTTCTGGTCGCACCACGGAACTAATGAATGTTAATGAATCCAGACTATATAAGCCTCTGCCGCGCAGCAGTTGCTATCGTGTCGGGTTCATCGGGGTTCGTCGGTTCCGTCGGGATAGGCTTAGAGTAGGAGAGAGTGAGAGTTTATGGAAGTGGTCCTGTAAAGTCATTCTTTTGGAGAAGCTAACAGAAGGTTATGCTCCCTCCATTTAAGGGTTAATATAGTCCTTGAGTTAGGCTGACGGAAGGTCAAACCTTTCTCACTTAGGCTAGGCTTAGGTAGTTTAGTGTATTAGGTAGTTTAGATACCATCTTCGAGTTTGTTCGGTAGGCTGCATTGGTCCACGCATGTCGGCCGTCATCGAGCTTGTCCGTCGGGCGCGTCGCGGTTTAGATAGGGTTTTCTTTTAGGATAGGGTTAGAGTAGGCTAGTACAGAGTCATCCATCGCCTGATCCCGCTGATCATTAAAAATATCACAGAATCTGTCACCTGGGTGATATCAAGCATTTTTGGCATAAGATATCATGTCAAGATGCTAATAGCTGAACCTTCCCAGGAATATGAGATGGGCCCATACATGATTAAAACCATGTTGCTAGGTGGGTGTTAATTGAACCAAAATATCAAATAAAATGGATTCATGTACCTTTGCAGGTTACTACCGTTGGCATAAAACCATCTTGCCAAAGATTTGTAGTACCTCTGTTGAATGGATGGGAAAGGTGGCTATTACAAATTGCTTCTTCCAAAACATCCCGCATTCGAGGCAGGCATGATCTAGTAGGCAAGGTACTGGGCGGTGTTGGAACTGGCCTAGACATGGCATCTGCCATAGATAACGCCAGATTGGCTAAAAACCTTGCCAAAGTTGCCTCAGGGGCACAAGATTTGGTCCACCCTATAGAGGAATCCATCCGGGGATTGGATAAGGTCCAGCTCAATGTAGCAGAGCTGCTTCCAATGTGGATAAAGTCTCAGGAAGAGGATCATTTAAAATTGATTCAAGCCATGCAGGGTATCCAAAATGAAACTGCATTGGCCTTAGCCTGTGTCCAGATTCAAAATATGCTTCTGGAATTAGTTCATAATATCATACCACCATTTCCACTGTATTTCCACAGCAGAAAAAAAGTGTTTTTACTACTGAATATTGGTGTTGTAGAGTGAGGAAGTCTGTTATTTTTCAGTGACAGGTTGTATAGTAGAGATGTGAGAAACAAAGACAAGGTAGAAACTGGAAAAGGAGCAGTTATAACATAGCCAACAAAAAAGGTTTTGTCTGGGCAAGCCAAGAGGAAATTAAATCTGTGGGAACAGTGGGACACAATTGCCATGGAAGAGGGTAAAGAGTAGTGTAGCCAGAGAAGATGACAAAAAGGACTGAAGTAACTAAAATTTGTTGGAAAATTTTTAGCAGGCTTTTGTTGGTTCAACTCTTTTTAAAATTGTGCAAAAGATATTGCTATCTAGTTCTAACATTATTTTTTCTGCACAGGGTATTAATCACAATTAATTATAGGTGTAAGAGTCAAAGGGTGGATGAACATGATATGCAATTACAAGCTAAAGTTCTGTTGAAACTGTTCTACCAAAACATGCAGAAGTTATTTCTGAAGGAAAGTACAGCATATTGAAGTGAGAGGGATTTGTACAATTACTTAAAAAAAAAAAGAACATGTTTGCAACCTGATTATCACAGGAATTGTTGACAAATTTATACTTGCTGTAGAAAAACACTGCTATTTATTTATGAATAAAATGTTCTTATATTTTATTGCACATTGAGTAGTGGTTCAAACCTTAGTATTTGCTGAAATGTGGAAATGCTAGCTTTTTTGGGGAAAAAACATTTACTAATCTTAACACCATTTTTTAATGAATGAAAAGTACCCTGTAATCCCTGAGAGATTTTTGTCATGAGAGTGGGAGAATGGTGGAATCCTCTAAATCTTGATTGCTTCAGAGCAGGCTTAATTGGTAAATTTATCTGATTGAATTAATCAAAAGAATAGGCTCATTTTATTCAAGTCTCATTCCGCACCCCCCCCCTTTTCCAGCCTTAGGGGAGGGAGCCTTTAATAATGGTCTGTGTAAACTGATGCTCAGGCATTAAGGGATTGGAGAAGTGCTGCTTGCGCAAGTTAAGGCAGAAGAGAAACGGCAATCAAATAAAAAGCAGCCGCGGAAACAAAATAGAACTTTTCTGAATTTTAAAAACATGTCTCTTATCATCAAAGTCTTGAACAGCAGTTGCAAACAGGCGCTTGAGTCTGAGAAAATAAGTTGCTTTTTTCGTGTGATTTTTGTCAGCAGGTTTCACCAACTGACCAAGCATTCTAGCAGTCAGACTTTGGAGGTGCAAAATAATACTACAACAGCAGCTGCTGCTTCAGCAGAGGACAAAGAGGAGGAGATGATGGCAGTTTCAGAGGAGCCAGAGGGACTCCTGAAACCCACCCAACACCACAATAGCAGTTTGAAGAGCCTTCAGGAAATGCCTGGACCCAAAACCCTTTCCAACTTAGTTGAGTTCTTCTGGAAGGACGGCTTTGGTCGCATTCATGAAATACAGGTACAATTTAGCTAAAATAATTATTATTGATTTATTCCAGGATTGATTTATTCCATATAAAAAAAATGAAGCAGCTGCTTAATTAATGAGTTGCGGTATCAGTTAATCCTGCCTGTCATTACAACGTCGTGTTGGTGCAGTTGATATGCTAGAGTTAAGAGTTTGTTTACAGGATCCTTGTTCTCTCTATTCAATCTTTATGTAATGAGTGTTTTAGTTTTCGTGTTTGGCGACTTCAAGCCCTTGTTTTCTTCTTTCTTTCCATCAGAGGACAGTATTAAAACCGTGCTTTTCAACCAGAGACAAAGAGGTCTGCAAAAATGCATTAGACTCCGCTTTGGGGAGAAGAAATTTCGGGCTGATTCTTGTGCTGTTTTTTCTTCAAATCTCTTGTCTAACATTAGGGCGCTCTAGAGCACCCGTAAACACAGCATCGTGCGGGATTTCCTTTTGCATCTTTCTCCTTCTCCCTCTTTGGGGTGTGCTGTTTACCCGTATTTTCACCCTTAGCTATTTGGGGCTTCAGTTGGCACGACTGACTTGTTGAACACTACACAGCTGTCCAAACTTCGTAAAAATTGAAGACGCCCCCCCCCCCCCCCCCAAGAAATTTAGAGAGTTGAGGAACAGGAGAAATGATTTTCCCTGTTAGGGAAAACCAGCCAAGCCATCTCCTAGCACTAGGGGTCAGCACCCCACGGCAGGATGGCTGTGATTTGTAATGGCCCTTTGAAGGGTAGCCCCTCAGGCTTGCAGCAGCGCCCGCACTGGGCTGTGGGGGCAGGATTTGGCCGTAGGACACATTGCGAGGCGGGGGGGGGACGGTTGTTCTCTCAAAGGTTTCCAGCGACCTCTCCCCAGAGCGAGTCCTTTGCAGGCACAGAGACCATTTTGTCTATTTCTGTCCCCCCCCCCCCCCTCTGTCGG